GAATGAGATCCTTCTCCCCTGCTCTTCTCCCAGGAGACCAGCCCCACCTGAGAGATGCTGGAAACACTACTGGTTTTCCTTTTTAAGGTGCCTTCCTGACAGACCGTCAGCAGATTGCTGGGGAGGATGGAGCGGAAGTCATTGAAAGAACGCCTTCGGACACCTTCCAGCTCTTCTGGGACTCGCAGGGAATGAGGAAGGACTTTGGGAAAGAGCTTCGAGAGGAGAGACTCTTCTGTGTTGCTGTAACGCCCAAACGCTCGAGAGATTCCTATCAGGCATGGGATTGCATACTTGCAAAGGTATTCTAGAAGACCAAGTGACAGTGTTATGATGAGATAGCTACCTGTGAGAGAGCCATGCTGTACCAACTTGTAATATTTCACAACCCACCTAACAAATGTGAAGGTTCAGAACGAGCCATAGTATTAGGGTCAACCCCAAGGGCTAACCAGTGATATTTCCAACCCATCATTAACAACTTCAGACTATGTTTCCATTACAGCTAATCTCTTGGAAGGTCTTGATATATTCATGATACATTCAAATCAATAATATACTTAGGTCATATTTTCAGGTAGGTACCTTAAATTTAATTAATATATTCATATCTCCTTAGGATCATATTGGTAGCCTTATTTACACTAAGGAAAAAACGATCTTTGAAAGTCAACTAAATAAACTACCCAAATATTAGAGGTGAAAGAATTCAGATTCAGAGGCCTTCTTGTCCAAGGCTAACCAGCATTTGTATACAGAACTGTGCTCATGACTCCATGTGCCTCTCAGTATATTAACCCACAACAAACGTAACCTAATACATAAATACCAAAGAACAGAGAAGAAAAACAAAGAATAGGAAAAAACAGAAAAGAAAAGCAAAGACTAGAAAAAAAACAATGCAAGGCAAAGATGAAGATGAAGATTAAAAAAAAAAAGAAAAAAGCATTTAGATCTATAATCATACCTTTTTCTTGAATCTCCAAGGCCTGGCACATTCCCAAAAGGACATGTAAAACCTGCAAAAGTGCCTCTAAAATCTGTAACAGTCAAGGGAACAATTTATTAAAAAATCAAATAAGCAGCACAAAATTAAATCAAAATTCAAAGGAGCTTTAGGTATGTATCATCTTGACTTAACCCTCCACTGTTGTCAAATGGTGACTTCAGAGACAGAAACCCTGACTCTCTAGGCAAGTACAGAAATCCTTCTAACAATGTGTCATGAAGTCCTCCTGGGGCTTGTACGTAGCAGCCCTTAGAGCTACTCCTTTCTTTATATTCACTAAATAGATGATTAGTGTCCATATAATCTCTTTTCATAGCTAAATAGCCCTCATTCTTTCCTATCTTATTCCTTCTGATTAAAAGTTATTTTTATGACACTAATTGTCTGCTTATGTTGCTACTACAGTCCAACTTGTCATATCTGTCTGAAAGTGTAGTGCTCAGAATAAAATATATTAATATTCCAGGAATGCAGGAACTCACCCAGAGTAATCAACAAGTTAAACACATGAACAAACCATTAGCTTTTTAGTAGCCACTTCATGGTGCTAGCTCAAAGACCTTACAGATAAATAAAATGCTTAAATCCTTTTCATACGTACTACTCTACAGCTATGAAACCTCTACTTCTGCAGTTATTTTTAATTTTTAAATTTATCCCCACAAAAGTTCATAGTATTAATGTTAGCTTATTGGACTAGTATTCATTTCCCAGCTTTGTGCCTCTACAACTGAAATCAACTTGCTTTTTACATCTTCACTCAAAATACTGGCTCATTTTCCGGGCTGAGGTTGTGGCTCAGTGGTAGAGTGCTTGCATCACATGTGAGGCACTGGATTCGATTCTCAGTAATATATATAAATAAATGAATAAAATAAAGGTTCATCTAAAAAAAAATACTGGCTCATTTTCCTCCAATGGCTGGAGGCAAGCCATTGGAAGTTCCTGCCAGGCCAATATTGCAATCATCTTCTGGGGAAGTCCTTCAGGTAGATGTGAAAACCATATGAATCTGGCACTTAGGCCATATAATTGGTCCAGAATGTCAAGAGAGGTGCTTGACCAATGTTTTCGTTGATAACCCAAATTTCCTTTATTTTCCTAATATTAAATAATGCTGAATAACCTGTAAAGGTCTAAAAAAAATTAATAGAGATTGAGTACCCCTTATCAAAATGCTTGGGACCATAAGTGTTCTGGATGTCAGACATTTTCAGATTTTGGAATACCTGGATGTACATAAGGAGATTTGTTGGGGATAAGACACAAGTCTACACAAAAATTCATTTGTTTCATGTATACTTAAGGAAGATACAACCTGTACTTTTGCCCATTTCACATATTAAAGTCATTTTGTTAGCTGCAATGTTGATCTTTTTATTTTGATAAATGTTATTAATAGACCCTAAACCTAAAAATAAATGAAGAACCTAAATTAGAACTGAAAAAACATCACTAGTTTGGAACATTTAGCATGTAGGAAGGCAACTAGGCACTCCTTGGCAGAACCTAACAATGGTAACATACAAAAACCAACTTTATGAAATTTTAGGAAAATTAAGTTAAGAAAAAAGTTTAAATTATGGTGATATTCTTTTTTTAAATTTTTTATAGTTGTACACAATAACTTTATTTTATTTATTTATTTTTTTAAATGTGGTGCTAAGGATTGAACCCCGAGACTTGCATGTGCAAGGCGAGCACTCTACCGCTGAGCCACAACCCCAGCCCCAACATTCTTTATTTATAAAGGAGGGAGGGAAAGGGCTGGGGGTTAGAACACCTCCTTAGCACCCTAGCACCCCCTAAAAAAGGAAATTTGAAATACCTGCTAGTAACATTTCCAATAAATTAACAAGAACTAAAAAAAATGTCTGGGCACTGAGAAGTAAAAACTACAGAGAAAATTCACTCTATGAATGACTTCAATCCCTAACCTAGAAGAAGGGAAATGAGCTACCTCTGCCTTTTTCTGCCTACTTCACAGTGTTTTGAGGAATGCTGAATATTGTAAGACTCACCAGATCTTTCAAAACAAAACAAGCTGAAAAATACTAAAAGCAATCATGAAATATTTTTTAGGTCTGTTATTAATCATACGAAAGGAAACCAATCACACTTCAATTGCCACCCCACCTCCCATCACTTTGGAACTCTTTTTGATCTAATAGCAATGAACAAGTTATCACATGCTTACCTCATCCCTAAGTGAAGGGTCCCTATAAGCCACATCAGAGAGCAAAGTAACCAGGCAAAAGCTAAAGCTCTCTGCAACTGGAAGCGCACCTGAAAGATATGAAGACAGGAATCAGATCATTAGAAATAAGACACTGGGCCACACCTGCTGGCCATCCAATTTAGTATGTTCCTTTTCACATGACTTGCCAAGGTATCACTTATATCAGCTGCCCTCAATCAGAACAGATATGGGCCTAAGGATTTGCTAAGAAATACCTCTTTCTTTTAGCAAAATACTTTGGTTTAGTAAACTTAATGTTTCCTGAGTTAATTTACAGTTTGAGATTACAGAGCCTACTGGAACTGTGAGATTTCACATTTTATTCCCTTCCTAAACAAAAGTGAGAAATCAGTCTTCATGTATGAGATGGTACAAAAAAACTATCAAGCACATATTTTTTTTTTTTGAGAGAGAGAGAGAGAGAATTTTTTTTTAATATTTATTTATTTTTTTAGTTCTCGGCAGACACAACATCTTTTGTTTGTATGTGGTGCTAAGGATGGAACCCAGGCCGTACGCATGCCAGGCGAGCGCGCTACCGCTTGAGCCACATCCCCAGCCCTCAAGCACATATTAATATTACATTAACCCGAATGAAATGTTGATTACATTTTCTATGTTTTGACAAATAGGAAAAATCTTAATAAGAGCTTCCAAAGATTTGCTCTAGAGCTAGGAATGCGACTTGGTGGTAGAGTGCTTGCCAAGTAAGCAGAAACCCTACTTTAAATCCACAGTACCATAAAAGATTTACTCTTTTCCACAAAAGCTTTTTTGTTTGTGTTTGGTCCTGAGAATTGAAAACAAGGTCTCCTGCATGCTAAGTATAAACTCCACAACTAGGTGACACCCCCTAAGCTTTTAAGTTCTTCCACCACTAAGCCTCCTACCAGGAAGGTTCTTAGGAACCCTCAGCACTGGAGGGAGTGCTCTGCCTAAAAGACCTATGCAGTCCTTTTACCAAGAATACTTTCAAATGTTAGAAACAATGCCAGTTGGTTCAATCATGATGAAATATATAGTCAATTTTTTTTTTAACTTGTAGATGGACACAATACTGTTACTTATATATGTTTTTATGTGGTACCAAGGATCGAACCCAGTGCCTCACATATGCCGGGCAAGTGCTCCACCACTGAGCTATAACCCCAGCCCCGTAGTCAATTTTAATACTGAATCAGGATATATAAGTACCCACTGTTTTATAGATATATTCATAATACATGGCAGAAGATTGTTACACTTGGAATTTTAAGATGTAGTTCTGGATGGTTTTCAAACTTGAGTGTGTGTTGGGGACTTGTTAAAACGGCCTATAAGCCACCCCCAGAAAGTTCTGGTTCAGTAGAGATCTAAAGTAGGGACTGGGAGTGTGTATTTCTGAGGTGATGCTGTTGCTTCTGATCTGGAGTGACATTTTGAGAACTGCAGATATTAACTCCAGCTGTTATCCAAAGGTGCTATATCAGGCCTCACAGAGGCAGATTCCAAAGAAACTTCAGTCTTACACATTATGAACCTTAAAATGCTGGAGGCCTTCCAAGCAGAATTTGGAGCCTTGGGAAATAACAACGAAATAACATCAATGTTACTGGTACTTAGTACCAAGCATGGCACACAGTGAACCTACATGAATATTTGGGAAGGGACAGAAGAAAGATAGTAAGGAGAGAGAAAGGGAAAGAGGGCAATAGATAGGAGAAAAAGCAAAGACTATTACTTTCACTTTGGCCCCTAAAAGAATATTAAAATAAAATACAAACTAAACAGAAACACATATGAATTTATTCCATTTCTAAAGGTACAAAATTTAACTGAAGCTTAACAACAGCAACAAAACGATAAAACTAATTATAATGAATATTGTAGCTGAGTCTGCATCATTCAACTCACCCTTTTGGAAGAGCTTCAATGCAATGTGGAAAAACCTCCCTTCAGAAGTGAGTATATTAATCTAAGAGTTTAGAGTAAGGTTTGAGGATGAGCAGGTGATCCAATTCCAACTAATGACAAGTTCTTACTCTCCAAAGAGCACAATGGAAAGCTGCCAGGCCACCTGCCTTCTCCCTCCTTTGCACACCACACTGGACAGTGGTGAGTAAGCTCAGCCCACAATGCTGCAGGCAATTAGTTGTTCCACAGCCAGGCGTGAGATCAATCAGAAGTATCCTAACTGGTATGTTAGTATAAATAAACATATGATCCCTAAAGAAGCTGAACATATTTTCCCTTGTATTCAGGGAAAACGTTGCATAAATTTACCTCTGCCTTTCCGAGATGTGCTTTCTTCTACCCAATAAACTTTTGGAAGTCCTTTGAGAAGTCGAAGAAGATAAGGAACCACACAGTCTTTGTGCTTAAAAAAAAAAAAAAAAAGTTATAGTTAATAAATGACTGGTAGCCTCTTTCGCATAGATTAAGCTCAAAGCAAAGCATATCCACATCCCAAGCATCTCAAAGATTCTCCAGGGATAATATAAATCAAGTACAAAAGCTCACATGGCATCATACACTTTGTTTCCACATAGCAAAGTCCAGAGAATGTTATATAAGCCTATACTGTAAGGGCCTAAAAGAAGCGCTCAAACCTGCCCTTTGCAGCTGAGTGTCCAGGCTGCTTGGGTCTTCTCTGGGTGATACACCACTATGAGGGCTTCTCCAGAGGAATGTATGTGTACACAAAGTCACCTTCAGTGAGATGGTTTCAGATCACCCAAAACTCATCTACAAGCCCTAGGATAAGATCTTTGAAACTACAGAGAAATTTACAATCACAAGTTTCTCAATTTACTTTTTGTTGTTCATATCCCTTGTTCTCTTTGCCTCCTTTTAAAAGCTCTTCTGCTTCATTTTTCTTCTTATTCCTCTCAAGTTTTCATTAACCCAATGAAAAAATTACTTTCCTCAACCAAATGAGCCAATAATACACAGCTTCGTAATCTTCCATCATTGTTTTTTTTGGGAGGGGGTTATTGGTAAGCATGCTCTAGAGAAGGAGATTTGAGGCTCGTAATATATTTTTTAAAAATTGTGATGGTTTTAAAAACAGCTCCAAGTTCCCACTCAAAGGGGGAATCTAATTCACTTCCCCTTGAAAACTGGCCACCTTAGTTATTTCTTTTAGTATATATAGAAACTAGCATAAATGTAACTCTGACTTCAGAGACTAGAAATGACAAGGCAACTTACCTGGTTCTTTCTCAGGATACTGGGACTGTAATACAGATATGATGTTGTGACAAGGCCCATGCCACATGGAGAGGCCATGTATACAGAGGTGTTCTGGCTAAAAGACCTAGGATCAACCCCCAGGTACGTGCATGAATAAGCTTTCACATAATTCCATTACCAGCTTTTGACCCTCCCCTTCTGACACCCAACAGAGTAAACAGTGACTCTTCTGAGGCCTGTCTAGATTGCAAATTCATAAGCAACAAACAAAAAGAAACAACAAAAAATGATAGTATTAACCCACTAAGTTTGGGGAGTTTGTTATACTACAATAACCAACAGACAGAATTTTTCTTTAATAAAAAACAAAACAATTTCTCCTAACTGATAAAATACAGCTGGTAGGATCCTAGAGAGTACACAAAGCTCCAAGGGGCCTGCACTACTCGGCTCCTTGTGGCAGAAGTGGCCCTGGTTGGCTCTTCCCTAAATAAACTGTGATGGCTTTAGTAGCATGTAGTGAGTAAAATCACCTCCACTACATTGAGTCACAGTTGCTGCCAGGTTAGCCCATGGACTAGACACAAGGAGGCCAATGCATAGCCTATCATGTAAGGAGGGTAAGGAATATAAATATCAGGTGAACCAAGATATAGCTGGTCCCTAGGGTATTCTCAGGAGTCAGACAAAGCATTCTGGATTCCTTTCCTAGTATCCATAAAACCAATGGACTTTCCCTAGAAGCGTAAGCAAATTATATGATCCAAAGGACAATGTCATATGCCATCTAGAACCCTCCCAATCCTCACTCAGAACCAGAAATACACCAAAGGTAATTTGTACTCCTCTCTTGCTGGTCATCTTAAAAAGTCCAATACGAGTACAACATCATGGGGACTTATAGATAAATCTAACAAGTAATGTGTTTGACAAGGATATTTTCAACCAATAAACATTTAGATGACAGTAGTTTCTTGTATTCTTAAAAATATTTTCTGCCCTCTATATTCTTTTTATATTTAAATAGGATTTGGCAAATAGAAAAGTAGAAATGATTTTCTTTCTTTTCATGTTAATAAATATACAGAAGAAAAATAATAAATGCAGTTTATGCATCTCATTTTGGTTTTTCATGTGACCTTCGTCAGGCAACTTATTTAATTATTAAAAGCTGAACTACCAGGTTCCCTGTGGATAAAATAAATGCCAATAAAATGTTTATTTTTTCAAATGTATAAATACTTTGTCAAAAAATATTAGTGCTTATTGGAGTGAAATTTCTAGGACATGCAAGCTCATTTCTTAGATAAATCTAACATCTTTATTTTCCTAACAGCATGATTGAATTTACAATTTAAAAAGTGATAGTGATAAAAATAAAACAATAAATAAAATATTCCCAAGTTTGAGGCAACTTTAGTGAGACTCTATCTCAAAATAAAATTAAAAGGGTTGGGAGTGTAGCTCAGCGATAGAGCACCCCAGGTTTAATATTCAATCCCCAGGACTGAAAAAGACAAACTCCCACCAGTTGCATGTTTCCTGCTGCTCCCTCCCATTTAACCATGTTGATTAGGTGGAAATGCATTCTTCTAATATTCCATTAAGTAAATATAAGCAGATACAAATTTAAATGCTCATTATACCCCCTCTACACTCTAGAAACTTAAAATTTAGTAATAAAGAGTTACCTGAAGATCAGATTCAATGAGAAAAATGCCCAATGCAATTACTGCATCTCTTCGTCTTTCATCTAGTTGAAAGATCCCATGGAAATCTACTGGGCACATGCAAAGCAACTTTTGGACCTAGAAAATAAAGTTAAAAAAAAAAAAAATATATATATATATATGTACACACACACACACACTCTCTCACACACAAACACACACACACACACATACACACATGGCTGGAGAGGTAGAGTATCCCTGGGTTCAATCCCTAGTACTGCTATATTAATTAATTAATTAAAACCAAATGTGTAAAACATGGAACTATATACATAGAACACAGTAAAGCTCAATAAACAGTATTCACTGTTACTGGGATACGCCCAAACAGTGGCTAGCACAAGGCAAAGTAGGCAATATGTGAGCAATGTACTGAATAAATGGGAAAATTAGATTTATCTTCTAAACAAACCAATAGTAAATGTCTGTCTTTAAGGGACTGAAGACAGCACAGGTTATGTCCATCTTGAGAAGCACCCATCAAAGTATTAAGAAAAACCAGGACCCTGACTTGCTGTTTTGTAATAGCCTCAATAAAATGTCATATCATCTACACTCATACTGTTGTAGTGGCATGTTTTAACAGTGTATCAGTGTATTGCTTGGGGTTTTCCCTGAAAATTCAATTAATAAATTACACTGTAATTTTTTAAAAGAAAGAGGTTTGCTTTTGTTACCTTAGATTTTACTTTTTTTAAATTGTTACCTTAGATTTTAAACAGGCAAATACAAAGGTATCACAAAGACTTGAAAGCATCTTCTGAGATGGGGGTATAGTATGCACAAGGCCCTTGGTTCAGTCCCTAGCATTGCAAAGGAAAAAGGAAAAAAGAAAAAAGAAAAGCATCCTCTCATATAAAGAAAGACAACATTCTCTGTTCTAATAATTTTCCTTCTAGTAAAGACTGTAAACAAAAAATTAGAAACTCAGGCAAAGATCATATAGAAATGCATCTATCACCATGTTATATACATATTTACAAATAGGAAACAATCTAAATACTCAATATTAAAAAAATAGTGATTGAACCTGTGAGAGGCCATCCTCGAATGTGATTTGAGTTACCTCCCTGGCTGGGTGAGAGGCGCTTAGACAACTGTTTAGAGCCTTCCCTACCCTTTTCCAGGTCCAAGGGCTTGTCCATGCAGAGGCGTGCCTGGCCACTGCCTTGAAGACCAATCGTCACCCCTGATCTTGGGATGCTGCCCCCCTTAACCTTCATTGGATGGAATTTTCCCTGGAATTTTTTGTTCCCCAATAAAAGCCCACTCCCTGGCGTGTTCTCTCTCTCTTGCTAGTCTCTTCTGTAAACCTCGCCACCACATTAGATGGCTGGAGGCAGGAGCTAGGAGAAGCCATCCTGGAGCTGGTATTAAAGGTAATGAGAGTCTTGTCTCTTTAATTTAAAACTCTCTAGCAATTCCTTATGAATCTAACCTTCTTTCATGAAGCCAGCGCTGATCGCGTGGCAGATGAACCACTTGTTGTAATATTAAGTTGAAGCATATGAAAATGGATGTTCAACCATTTCTTGACTACAAAAACAATGCTTTCATAAAGTTCACTTTTTAAAAAAAGTTCACTTTCAATACCAACTGAGCTATATCCCTAGGAGATGAAGTTCACTTTTAAACTGGGCATGGTGGTACACAGCAAAAGTGAGGCACTAAGCAACTCAGTGAGATCCTATCTCTAAATCAAATACAAATTAGGACTGGGAATGTGGCTCAGTGGTTGAGTGCCCCTTGAGGTTCAATGCCAGGTAGCAAAAAAAAAAAATCACTTTTAACATTACAGCCACTGAAAGTGGCATTTGCTATATAGTTTAGATCTTGAAAGAGCCAAATTCCCATGCACTAAAGTTTGGTCCCTAGGCTATCAGGAGATAGTAGAACCTGTAAGAAGTGTGGCCTCGTATGAAGTCTTTAGGTAACTAGGTGCACAGACTGGAAGGTGATTATGGAATTCCAGCCTCTTCCTCTCCCTTTTACCTCCTGGCCATGAAGTGAGTAGTTTTGCTCTGCTACATGTTCCTACCATGATGTACTACCTCACCACAAGCCCAAAACCATAAAGCCAACTGATCATGAACCTCCAAAACTGAGCCAAAATAATCTTCTTCTCTTTTTGACTATTTCAGGTATTTTTTAAATAGTGACAAAAAAACTAACAGAAAACAGTGATGAAAAGTTTACTAACAGTGGTTTTTTTTTAATAAGCAATAATATGAAATAATGTTCTAAGGGTTCTATAAACCCATGAGAGGAATGATCTTATTGTCAAATACAGAAAAAAAAAACCTACTAGAAAAAACATATCAAAATGTTAAGAGTTTTGAGAGGCAGGGTAACCAGGGGTTTTATTTTTTATTTATTTTTCATAAAGTGCTTTTTTGGTATTTTTCAAAACGCTTCATGGGAAAATATTCCTTATGTAATCAGGAAAAACATTCAACAAGTTAAAATAGAAATATGTACATCTGGAAATAAATCCATGCTTTTAATTACTACATGCTTAGACAAAAAAAGCATACAGTAACAGATTAGAAGATAAGGCTAAATCTCCAATTTTTTTCAGTGTTCCTCCTTCACAGAAGGAGAAATACAATAAGAAGAGTGAAATATTTCAGGGATTCAACCACTTTGAAGATTTTTACCAGAAAATAATCTTACATCTTGAAAGAAAGAGTAAAGTCCTTTGGGAAGAAAAAAATTTTTTTTTCCTGTACTAGGTACTGAGTCCCGGGGTGCTTTACCATGGAGCTACATCCCCAGTCCTTTTATTTTTATTTTGAGACAGAGCCTCACCAACATGCTTAGGGCCTTGCTAAGTTGCTGAGGCTGGCCTTGAATTTGCAATCCTCCTGCCTTAGCCTCCCAAGTCACTAGGATTATAGGCATGCATCACTGCTTCTGGCTTTCCAAAAAAAGATTAACAGGAATTTTTATTTGTTGATTTTTACAGCCTTAGCCATGCCAGGCAAGCACTCTACTACTGAGTTACACCCCAGCTCTAAAGATCTTTAAAAATATCCTTGCAAATTAAAAATCAAAAGAAAGAGAAATCAAAACAGAATGAGTCAATGAGATTCAAACAATGTTATGAGTCAACATCAAACCAAACTGGAAGGAAGAATCCAAGGTCCTAGCAAACTCTATGTCCTTTGCCCTGTCCTGTGCAATCAATATCTTGCTTGAACACACACCAGACACACACTAAACCACAAACCTAGGAGGTAAAGTAATGTACTAAGACATAGCACAGAGACTCAGAAACTTGTCAAAAGTGCGTAACATGGTTATTAAATATAGAAAAGGTATTTTTAAAAAAGACAACTCATTCCCAGGTGCAGTGGTACATACCTATAATCCTAGCTACTCAGAGGGTGAGTCAGGAAGGTTGCCAAG